TCACTGTGTTTTTAAAACAATTGCATTCCCAAATATTTACCACTTCATTTAGTCTTTTGCTTATTTAATTCAAAATTCATTTTTTGGAGTTGATATTTAGTGACTGTATTTGATAATCACAAGCAATAAAGGTTACTTTGTGTTCTTAGATAGACAGACAGACAGACAGACAGACACACAGACACACAGACACACAGACAGACAGACAGAGATATACCTTATATCTCTATTCTCCATCTCCATCTCTCTGTGTGACTGTTTTTGTGTATGTTATAATATAACATACACAATATATTATATAATAATAATAATAATAATAATAATAATATATTATTATTATTATTATTATTATTATTATTATTATTATTATTATTATTATTATTATTATTATCATTTCAACCTTCCCTGGAACTTCCAGTAGATCAGGTTGGGGGACGAGTCCGTCCTTTGGGATATGGTAAAGCCTGTTTACCGACAGGTCAGAGAAGAATTTAACTTCCAGTGTTGGAGCATTCACCGCTTCTGGTTAATTGTTCTCACTGTCAGGAAGTTTCTCCTTAGTTCTAGATTGCTTCTCTCCTTGATTAGTTTCCACCCGTTGCTTCTTGTCCTGCCTCCAGGCGCTTTGAAAAATAGCTTGACTCCCTCTTCTTTATGGCAGCCCCTGAGATATTGGAACACTGCTATCATGTCCCCCTTCGTCCTTCTCTTCATTAAACTAGACATACCCAATTCCAGCAGCCGTTCCTTATATGCTTTAGCCTCCAGTCCCCTAATCATCTTTGTTGCTCTTCTCTGTACTCTTTCTAAAGTCTCAACATCTTTTTTACATCACAGTGACCAAAACTGGATGCAGTATTCCAAGTGTGGCCCTACCAAGGCATTGTAAAGTGGTATTAACACTTCATGTGGTCTTGATTCTATCCCTCTGCTAATGCAGCCTAGCACTGCGTTGGCCTTCTTGGCAGCTGCAGCACACTGCTGGCTCATATTTAGGTGATTGTCCACTAGGACTCCGAGGTCCCTCTCACAGTTACTACTATTGAGCAAGGTGCCACCTATGCTGTACTTGTGCATTTGGTTTTTCTTGCCTAAATGTAGAACCTTGCTTTTTCACCATTGAATTTCATTTTGTTAGATAGTCTGTCCAGATCCTTCTGTATCTTAAGTCTGTCTTCTGGAGTGTTGGCTATTCCTGCCAGCTTGGTGTCATCTGCAAATTTGATGAGTTCCCCATCTATCCCCTCATCCAAATCGTTGATGAAGATGTTGAAGAACACTGGGCCCAGAACAGAGCCTTGGGGCACCCCACTACACACTTCCCTCCATGTAGATGCGGTTCCATTGAGGACCACTCGCTGAGTACGGCCGGTCAGCCAGCTACGGATCCATCTGGTGGTGATGCTGTCTACCCCACATTTTTCTATCTTGTCAAGTAGTAGGTTGTGATCTACTTTGTCAAATGCCTTACTGAAGTCCAAGTAAATTATATCCACAGCATTCCTCTGATCCACTAATTTTGTCAGTTGGTCAAAGAATGCAATAAGATTTGTCTGGCATGATCTATTTTTGACAAACCCATGTTGGCTTTTAGTAATGACTTTGTTTGCCTCTAGGTTTTCGTTGATTCGTTGTTTGATTATCTTTTCCAGGATCTTCCCAGGTATTGAGGTCAGGCACTATCCAGACATTAAAGGACCCAGGTAAAAAAAAGGAAAAAACTTCTACCCTTGATGTAGTCGAGAAAAGGTCAGGAGACCATCAAGGGGACACGAGGTCCTAGAAACTTTTTATATCAAGTCACCAAGTCTCTAGTGTTTTGCTAGTTCCTTGAGAACCTTGGGGTGTAATCCATCTGGTCCTGGCGATTTGAACTCACTTCACCAAAATCCAGATTTCTCATAATAATAAAACTTCATTAAAAGTAACTTTAAAATAGAGGTTATTTTAGAACCTCAGTAACAATAAAATAATTAAAACAAACAAAATGATTTTTGCTGCTGAAATATTATTGAGAAGTATCTAACATTTCCATTAAAGTTGTATATCCTTATGAAAAGGACATGAAAAGGATTACATAGAGTAATTCCACAAGATCCTAGGTGCAAGAAAGATAAATCTTTTGCAGCTCTACTTTTCTTTATTAGGAAGAATAAAGAAATTTGTTAGACTGACTACCAATAGATTTATCCCTCATATTCAAACTGCTGCCAATGACTCACAAAGCTTTGTATGACATAAAAGCTGGTTGCATCAGATAGTATCTTGTCAGTAATGAATCTATCTGTCTAGAGAGAGAAAAACAATCTTGGGTAGGCATGTCAGAGTCCTCCTAACATCATGGGTTAGAGAGAAAGTGATTAAAATTGCAGGTATTTGCTAAGGCAGTCCACATACTTTGGAATTCCTTACTCCTAAATTGTTATAAAGGTTCTCCCACGATGGCATTTAAAGGATAATTAAAGACAGTTTTATTTCACTGATCCTTAACCTTTTGTTGTTGTTGTTGTTGTTGTTGTTGTGGATATTTAAATTAAGGTGTAGTAACTCTTTCATTTCTGGAGAGCTATAAAACTTCAAATGAATAAATAAATAAGCCAAATTAACACCATAAGAAACTTATATAAAGTAATGTCTCAGTTGTAGTTTCATGTGGCTTAAGTATTCTATCTGTATCCAGAGATGGATGGATCTATGTATCAGACATTGTCTGGGAGCACTATTTTAATAAGGAATAAGAGAGGTTTCAGTGAGCATATAACCAGTATATATGTTCAATATATGCATAACACATTTAGTGCATGGAATCAGGGTAACAGAGTAATTTTCTCAGAACTATTTTCTAAGACCAGCCTAGTGTTGTTTGCTGAGATGGCCAGTTATAGAAATCAATCAATCAATCAATCAATCTCAAACAAACAAACAAACAAACAAACAAACAACAAATGGAGTAGAAGCTAAGTCTTCTGGTTTAAAATCAAAATATTGCATCTTGAAAAACTGCAATAAATGACCAAACATAAGTTTCTGAGACTATAACTAACCTTGAAAAACAAACAGTGATGTATATACATTATTTGCAGTTAAGAAATCTGCCTCTCCATTAGATGCCACAGCTCTAGGGGATCTAATTAAAATGAACAATTGCTATTTTTAAAGAGAGATAATTATTCTGGAAAGAGATAACAGTGCTTATTTAGTGATTGTTGATGGAGATATATGGACTGTATTGCTTTGAGAAACTTTCATCCATTTCAGCAGAATTTTTATACAATTATGAACGGAAACTGTGCAGTGGCTTGAGATAGTCTCCATATAATAATAAGGTGAAAGATCATTCCTTTCAATGTATCATACCAGAGGAAAAAAACCTTTTATTGTAGATGTTATTTGTAACTTTTTTATGTTATTAGTCAATATATTTTGATGTACAAAGTTGTCTTCTATTATTTTGAACTTTTGATCCTTGTGTTAAGAAACAGAACATTAAAAACAAATTATTGGGGCATGTTTCTGCTACTATCACATATATAAGGAAAATCAATATCTCCTGTTCATGATGGGGAATAATGATGTGGATAACTCTCTGAAAAATGGTCTCCGCACATTTGTGTCTGTGTAAGAATGAAAACCACTTCTGAGTTAATATGAATAAAACAAATGGACTTCGACTTGAGTGAAATACTTCCTTCCTTCCTTCCTTCCTTCCTTCCCTCCTTCCTTCCTTCCTTCCTTCTCTCCCACCCTTTCTTCCCCTCTCTTTCCCCACCAGATAATGGTGGAAAAGCAGTTTTCCTAACTTTCCCTCAAATACATCTGCATTTCTAGCTGACTCCTTTTATGTGAAATCTTTCAAAATCCTGGGTTTTATTGCACTCATTTTAATCTAAGAATGGGATATTTCATTGGATATGTGGCAAAATGACAGACTTTCTAAGATGACATTGATAGCATTCCTCTCCTATCAAATGTTTGAATATGTTGAATGGAGCACCTGAGAGGAGTGTGAGTCAACATTCTCTGAGTGTGTTTATTTTTGTACAATATTTATTTATTCAAAATATTTATTTATTTTGTTATTTATATGTGAAAATATTATTTTCAAAATATTTATATGTTTTTTGCTAATGATGCTTTTTTGATATCTCATTGACCATAACATATTTTAGCATAAGTTTAAGTATTGGGCAAGGGGAAATGTCTTAAAAATGGCATCAGATTTCAGTAACAGAATGCAACAGAACACAAAAGGAAAAGGTTAATAATTTCTAGCCATACATTTTTATAACATGGTTCTACTTTGGGAATGATGAAATTTAAGGTAGTTTTCATAAGAAATTTTCCCATTTTACAGTTTGTTCTATATTTATGTGTGTGACTGCAGATTGTTTGTGTTTGGAATTTATTATATCTGAATATAAGAAATAATAATAATAATAATAATAATAATAATAATAATAATAATAATAATAATAGGAGTAGGAATTTTTCAAGTTGGAAATTGAAATATGAAATCTATCACATAAATTGATCTGACTATTATTTTTAAAAAATATTTGGGAAATGAATCTTGGTTCAGTATGGTTGTATCTAAAATATTTAAATGTAATAATTGCCACCCAGTACATGATGCATTATGGAAATATGTAAAAGAAGGATCTATATTTTTTTGCCTTCAGGATTAAAGTTATTTATGAACTTGTACTTTAAAAGTTTATTTCTTGGTATCTGAAGAAATCCATAATGTTAATCTCAGCAATAAATATGATCAAAGCTGATTTACGTTTTCAGGGTTGAATGATTTCAAGCAAGATAGCAACTGTTTTATTGCATTCATCTATTATTCAAGTACAAATAAAAATGGATTGCAGTGAGAAGTAGCAGAACATTTATGAACCTTGAACTGATAACTTATTGTCTTTTGAGTCGGATTATATAAAAGGCCACTATTGCATTATTATTAATTAAGTTTTTATCTCACAAATCTTTTAGAAAACAAAATGGGAAACCACTCCAGAATTGCACAATTCATTTTGGAAGGATTCTCAGGACCCCTAGAGCTACAGCTGGGTTTGTCTTTTCTTTTCATGCTGCTGTACATTGCAACATTGATGGGAAATATTGGAATGATCATTATTATTACTCTTGATCCTCAGCTCCGAAGTCCTATGTACTTCTTCCTGAAGAATTTATCCTTCTTGGATACCTGCTATTCTTCTGTTATAACTCCCAGAGCCATGGTGAACTTTGCAACAGGGCAGAAAGGCATTTTCTATAATGCATGTGCCATACAAATGTTCCTTTTCTCTCTTTTTGGAACAACTGAATGTTTCTTACTAGCTGTAATGGCATATGACCGATTTACTGCCATCTGCAATCCCCTGCTTTATAATGTCACCATGTCCAGGAAAACCTGCATACTTCTAATAACGGTTTGCTATTTCTTTGGTTTCCTCAACTGTTGCACACAGACAAGCCTTACTTTCAGCTTATCCTATTGTGAACCAGGGGAAATTAACCAGTTTTTCTGTGACGTCCCCGCTGTCATGAAAGCAGCTTGCTCAGACACTTTTGTAAATGAGATTGTGCTCTTAGCACTGTGTGGATTTATCATAGTGATAACATCCACTATAGTTTTGGTTTCCTATGTCTATATTGTGGCCACAATTCTCCACATGCCTTCTGTAGAGGGAAGACACAAAGCTTTTTCAACCTGTACTTCCCATATCATGGCTGTTAGCTTGTTCTTTGGAACAGCTTTCTTCATGTATGGTCAACCTGGAGCTATGGCTTCTCCGAATCAAGGCAAAGTTGTTTCTATTTTTTATACTGTTGTAATTCCTATGTTGAATCCATTAATTTACAGCCTAAGGAACAAAGAGGTCAAAGATGCATTAGGAAGACAGCTAAAAAGGGTGACTTTCTTCAGATGAGCACCAACTCTTATAAAACATAAAGTTATGAATACTTTTAGCTTGAAGCATTTATAAATTGATCTTACAATTGAAATCAGAAGCTTTTCTTATAGATCTGAAGGATAAACAGATTTTTTTTTAAAAGAAAGAAAAACAAAGCATGGAACTTTGTTCTTATCTAGGACAGCAGAAGCAAATGTCCTCTATATGCAGAGGACTTACATGTATTCACAATGGAAGAATGGAGGGTGAAATTAATGCAGTGGGTGGAGAATTATATTATTTCTATTTGGAAATCACTCTTCAACTTTGCGTTTAAAATTTTTTAAAAATGAAATTTTAATCTTGAATTTCAATTATTAGACTTGTTTGTGATGATAGAAGCACTGTTGGTTATTCTAGTTCAAAGGGTCATTGATTTTTAGGCTTTTATATGTATCAAAGAAAGTGAAAAGTTACTTTTTTCTATATTTTTTTCTCCTTTTTGTTTGTCCTCCCCAGTATTGCTTTTGCCCTACCCTTTCTTTCCAACTGTTTTTATTTCCTTTTTTTTGTATTACATATATATATATATATATATATATATATATATATATATATATAATGTTTTGAAAAAAATGCTATGTATGGTTGTATGAAAAAGTTATAATTTATAAATCAAGATGCAGGAAATGGATACCCCACTATTTTATGATGTAAATCAATTTTATGCAGATCTATGCATACATTTGGAAGTGATAGCATATACATTTATAATACAACTAAGAAAATTTACTTTTTGCAATAAAGTTTTTACTGTGCTAGGGAACATTTTGATGGGAAAAGTAAAAATACCTACCACTGCAAAATTTATTGTCATTAAAAATGCAGAATTCTTACTCACCTTATGTAAGAATTGCAATGTATTAATATCTATTGATAACAAAACATACTCACATGGAATATTAGTAGAAATTATACCTTGAGACCTATTTTTTCCTTTATTTTTCCTAAATATGTGGAGAAGCACATCTCTTTAGTCAGTTATACCTAGATACTAGATACATTTGTCAGATTCAGAAAATAAGGGATTGGGTATCATTACCCACTTCCATATGCACATATGTCTATATCAAAGTTAAGGCTGTTGCTGACATTTTAAGCAAATGCAACTTTTACAGAAGAACAGGGATCTATAATGAATGTTTTCTATCATAACTTTTTACTTTGCATGGTTAAGGGTGAGTAGCAGAGAAATTCTTCTACAAATGGTCGTTCACCTTGACACTTAAAATGTAATTTTTAAGTCATCTGCATCATGCAAACTAAATCCCTGCTGCTCAGTTACCATATACATGAATGGGTCCACAATAATAACAGTAGTAGTAGTAGGAATACAACTCATCTATAAAAAATAGTCATGCTAAAGAATAGCAGAAAAATTATTTAGAATCTTTCATAAGTAGAGTACAGAATTCAGCCTGCGAGAGGTCATAAACTTGCAAGTTTGAAGTTATTCTTCAGCAGCCCAATAACATTTAATCTATTTTGTTCTTTCATCATAAATTATAAACCATATGTTTATTTTTTCTGTTGTTCTTTTTCATGCAAAAAAGTCTATAAGGGATTTTCAGTCAGCAATAAATGTAGATACTGTTTTTTTTTCTCTGATCAAATAAGTCAGTTTGGCAATCTTAGCAAGTTCTACCATTATACCAATCATTCCTCCATTGAGGGCAATACTAAATTTTTCCCTCTTGTGGGGAAGCTGTGCAAAGCAAAGCTCTATGTTTTTTTTAACTGTTTTTCCTTCACTCCCAGGAGAAAAGCCTCTGATTTCGATTGTATATTGATTTTTAATTTTTATTGAAACTGTATATGCTTTTGAGGCCACAATTTTCTTGCTCTGTTTTCCTGTTCACCAAACATGATATGTTTCCATAAAAATACCTTTATAAAATTTAGAAAATTTATCTGGTGATATATGCTAACAGTACATCATATTATATTTTTCCTTAAGATTATAATGTAAATTTCAATCCTTATAGTCACATGTTTTCCTATTGTTCCTTCTGCATATTATAACTGAGGTTTTTATCCCACTTTATCATGAATTATTTCACTTGTTCTTCTGCTTCCAATTTCAATAAAAGTTTATACATTTAGCAACTCAGTCTTAGAATGTTCAAAACCATAAATTGTTTTGTCTACTTTAAATCTTTCTAGTAATTCTAAATGAGAGAACCATTTACAACTATATCCTCTCTGCCACCAGTTTGTTGTTTTGTGTGTTGCCACAGTCTTTTTATTTCTATTTGCAGGTCTTTGTATGCTATTTTTTTTTATTTTTTTTCCCTCTTTCTCCTGCTGTCTCCAGCTACTGCAATGTCCTCTATGCAGACTTCTAATCTGGAGGGCTCTATGGCAGGTGCTTGCCAGTTTGAACTCTAATATCCCACAGCAATTTATCTTCCTCAATTTATATTATTTTGCTATTTTGACACCCACCAGTATTTTTTGTGAGCCTGTTATTAAGAATGCTAGGTTTTGTAAAGTTAAAAACAGGAGCCATATTTAAAATTTTGTGAAGTATATATATATGAGACATCCATTAGGGGGTTTGTGTGTGTGTGGAGGGGGCAATATTATAACTCTAGTTCAATATTTAACATTTTATCCAATAAAACAAAAAAAGTTAAAATATAAATCCTAAGGTTAATAAATGGGATATTCTTCCCAAATGTATTGAGTCATTAATTTCATTTGATAAGCAACAATGACAGAATCTCTCTATATATTAATCTAATCTAATCTAATCCAATCCAATCCAATCCAATCTAATTTAATTATACACACACACACACACACACACACACACATTCACATGAATAGAATGTAATTTGAGGAAACTGCAGGATAAAGGGAATCAAATGAATTTTATAAGTGCATCAGTTATCCTAGGATTAAGCATCCTCTTTAGAACTGAAATTACTCCAAAGCTCCAATATCAATACCGGTAGACGCTGAATGATTCAAGTACATAGTTTTCTGTTTTTTGTTTCTGTATATTTTTATGTAATTTTTATCTATTTTTGTGTTATACTGTGTTATACTGTGTTGAAGGAAAAGTCTTCATCATGGTTCAGTCCAAGCTGGGAATAAACAACATGGTGACTGCTTTAGAAAGAAAGTTTATTGGAGAGGAGAGTCAGACAGAAAGATGGCTCTGAAAGAAAAGAGAGAGAGCACAGAGAGAGTGGGTTTTTATACCCTCTGGGGCTTTTGTTTGTTTCCTGTTCCTGTTTGAAGCTTTGTATTTCCTGTGTCATGTATTATGACCTGAGTCTGGGTGTGCCCTTTGGAATCTGTGGGTTAATCCTATTATGTCCTTAGAATTTGGGTAGGGTATGTAGATTTTAGGTGTCTTTGTCTTCCTAAGCTTCTAGCTAGGGGCCTCCAACCTTCCTGGATTATTTACATCTGCATTTCTACATAGCTGGTTCCTGCTTGGGGGAGGGAGACTTGGGACTATTAAAAAAACTGGGCATGCTTTTCTGCCTCTTTAAGATCCTTTGAGGAAATATATTTTCTGCCCTTTTAATATTTCCTTCTCTGGGGGCCTGACTTCCCACAACTGTATATGATCCACTTTACAAAACTGCATATCTAGCAATAATGAAACATAATAAATTAAGATTAAAAATGTAAAGCCTTCATTAAAAATAAACCAATAAAAATAGAACAAAGTTGTCTGTTGCTGAAACATCATTGAGTATTATCTATAATTCTGGTGTTTCCCCTTAAGGCTGTGTATCCTTAGGAACCATCTGTGGAAGGATTACATAATTCTACAAGACCTCAGATGCAGGAAAGTTAAATCTTCTGAGGCCCTGACCTTCTTTGTTTCTTTTCAGTGGTGATCCATCAGTGGAACTAGATTATCTAGATCAGCGGTTCTCAACCTATGGGTTGCGACCCCATTTGGGGTCGATTGACCATTTCACGGGGTCGCCAAGCAAGGCTGTCCGCCATTTTTTTCCCTTTTCCGGCGGGTGCCTTACCTCCCTTGAGCTGGGCCAGCTGGTGGTAGGCCTGCTCCGTCTCTGCTGCTTGCCAGCTATGCCTCGGCCGGCGCAGGAGGCGGAACCACGCATGTGTGGCGCTCCCGGGCAGGGAAAGTCCTCGACTTATGACCGGTTGGGTAGTCCTCGACTTATGACCGGTTTAGTCCTCTACTTATGACTGGTTTAGTCCTCGACTTACGACCGATTTAGTCCTCGACTTACGACCGGTTGGGGGTCGTGGCATTAAAAAGGTTGAGAACCACTGATCTAGATTAGATCACTTTAAGAGCATGCAAAGGATCTCTCCTGTCATCAGGTTGATTAAAGTGGCATCTCAATATTACATGGTCATCTTTACCTATGTGTAATGCCATGATGCATGTAGAAGGGTGTGTGGGGATTGTCACAATGTCCCCCCTCCACACTTGCAAATGCCCCTAGCACACTTAGCTATAAATTTCATGCTTGTTTTCACTTTAGTAGAGCAATTGTCAAATAACAGCTCCACAATGTTTATTCCATTTTGAAATACATGTTTAAAAAGTGTGTGTACATTCTATGAGGATTAGAATAGAGATCAAACTAAAGCAATTAAAACCACTTGGGTGTGATGTAGCCAACCCATTCTGTCTCTTACAGTTGCTTTTCCAATCTCACCTTTTGTACCAATGGCTAACCAAATTTTGCAACTGATGATGGAAACTAAATGGTGCAATAAGCTAAGCAAAAGAAAAAAAGTTTGTCTATCTGAGGCATTAAAATAGGAGTAAGAAGAGCTGTTTAAACAATGAGAGCAAGAAATTATCTGATAAAGAAATAAGAGAATATCAGATTCCCAATTTCTTATCCCAGAGTCATGATGTGAGAGGGAGAAAAAGAGAGGGAAGGATTTTTTTTAATCCCATAGAAACTGTTGCAATACTGCCCTAGATATAACTGAGGGTGAAATCTAGGGCAGCGTTGCAACAGTTTCTA